ATTGTTCAAAAGTATCTCAGTTTCTGCATTGTCTGTCTATCGATATCTATATTTGTTCCCAACTGCTTTGGGAGAAAGCTTCTATGAAGCTGTCTGAATAAGCACTATTTAGAGCACACCAAAACATCTTTAGGAGTCATGCTGTCACTAAATTTTTAGCTGTGACTAAATTATTATTTGGCTTTACCCTAACTTCCCAGGTTATCTAGTCTCTGCTCATCAAAACAGTGTCAGGTATGGGTTCTGTCTTGAGGAGCAATCCTTACATGAAGTCAGTTAATGGCTGGTTACTCCCATGAGCTTTGTGACACCATTGCACTAGTATATCTTGAAGATAGCACACCATTGTAGATCAAAGGATTTTTGGCTGGTTTCATGTTTATATTTTTTATTTAGTAGTGTGCAGAATGCATTCCTATAAGAAAGATGCTAGAAAGTATGGGTGAAAGTTTTATGTAGTCCCCAGTCCAGCATCTCCATATTCAATGAGTTGTAAAGGTATTGTCTTCAGCAATGTGAATTTGCTGTCAGTTTTTTTTAGAACAACCTATAATCTCAGCAAAATCTTATTTCGTTTAGAGGTTCCCATGGGATAACTTTGGTAAACAAATCAATTAGATCTAACCCAATCTCAATACTGGAAACTTACTTTGGTGATAAGAGATGATCATTTGGGACACCCTCTCACCCAATACTAGTTTATATCCTTTAGATTGCCTTCATATATATGTGTATGTGTGCATACATACATATTTTAGGAAGTTTCTGCTGTAATAGACTGTATATGTGTTTTATGAATTGTTCCTTAACTTTACAGTGTAGTTTCATACTCTGTTCCTCAAGTCTCCCTCCTTTCTCCCTCCCCACTTGATCCTTTCATTCTAGCCCTTAACTATCCATCCATAGTTTATCCTCTATGTTTAGACTTTTTTATTATTATGTGATAAGTGGATTTTTTTTTACCTCTCCAATCTATTGGTGTTCTGTGGGCTTCTTTTACTTTGATAGGTATCTACTTCTTTAAGTAGGGATATTTTCTTCTATGATTTTGTTGAAAATGTCTTCTGTGCCTTTGACCTGGGTTTTACTTCTACCTCCTCTATTAAATTATTAGATTTGGATTTTTGATAGTGTAACAAATATTCTGATTGCTTTGTGATGTGAGCTTTTAGATTTAACGTTTCCTTTAACAAATGTATCTATTTCTTATATGTTGTCTTCAATGCCTGAGATTCTCTTGTCCATATCTTATATCCTGTTCATGAAGCTCACCTATGAGGTTCCTGTTGAGTTCCTAAGTTTTTCTTTTGCAGATTTTCTTCACTCCAGGTTTTCTTGATTGATTCTTTGTCTACTTCTAGGCCTTGAATTTTTTTTATATTATTCCCCTCTTTGTGTTTTCATAGATTTCTTTGGGAAATTTGTTCATTTCATCTTTTAGGACCTCTATCATCACCATACAGGCTGTTTTAAGGTTTTTACTTGTTCTACAGCTATATTGGAAGACTAGGAGCCTGCTGTAGTAGGGTGACTGGGCTCTAGTGGAGACATTCTGTCCTGGATATTATTGATTCTGTTTTTAGGGTGTTGCATAACAGCTGGTATCGGGAAAATTGAAATTATAGGTGATGATATCTGGTCCTGTCTTTGTTCAGTTGGTGATTCTTTCCTTATTTTCTGTTGCCCTGACTGGTACTTAGGAGAGTGTTGTGGCTGTGTGTTGCCTGGTAGGAAATTTTTCTATGATCCTAATAAGTATGGCCCATGGAAATTCCAGGTAAAATGTGTTTCTAGGTATAGAAAGATGACTCTTAAGAATGGAAATGGGCTAGGAGGGGGCAGAAAAATAAAGTTCACAGGAGAGAAGACATCAGAGTTTTCCATGGGATCTGCCTACTTAGTCACTGGGGAATGTGGACACTGGCAGGCTACAGCAGAAGTTTTGATATAAAGCTGTGAGTGAGACTGGGCTTTGGGCTTAGAAGAATGGAGGGAGATGTGAAGATCAGTAATTAGTCTACTTGGTTTTCTAATTAGAGTGGCCTGTGCATTCATAGGGGGTGTCTTCGGGATTTTAGGGATAGAAGAAAGCAATAGGTAGGGAGAATAAACTTTGGAGTATAAGATTGAAGTCATCCTCTTGCAAATGGAGCATTTGGGGTAGGTCAGTTGCTGCAGGTGTTAAACACAGAGCTGAGCATGAGATTAAGAAACTGGATTTGGAAAAGCAAATGCAGAGATGAAAATCAGCATTTAGCCTATGTGCTTCCTTGCCCAGCTTGGGCTGTGGTTTCCCAGGGAATGCTTGATGGAGTAGGGGTGTGGGACAAAGCAATGTGTTGGGATAGAGCTGTTATAAGATGTCTGTGAGTTTCAGTAGGGATGTGGTTCGCTAAAGCATGTGTTCTGTTACGGAGCTGGGGATCAGACGGGATCATTGTACTAAAAGGAACGAGAAGGAAGTAAAGATTTCTAGTTATCTTAGCTCTTCCATGGCCAGAGTAGTCTCTGGTTTCCAAAGAAGGCCTGTTGGAGTTGGGGTTTGGGATGGTGCAACGAGTTGGAGGAATAAGGTTAGAAGATCTGTTGGATCCATTCTAGATGGGGGTGCTGTCACGGATTTTCTGTGGCATTTCTGGGGATGAGACTGGGGGTTTCTATGTGTAGGAGGACAGGGAATGTTTAAAATCTGCAGTCAGTCTGCTTACTTCCCTAGCAGGAATCATGAAAACAACTTTTAATGAAAAATATTTAGGAGAAACAAATCAGGAAAATTGAATTATTCAAAAGGAACTTGATCTTCTTTTTCTTCAAGGAACAGAATGTTTCCTTGTAAATAGCAAAACCAAAAATGTCTTTTCCTTTTGTCAAATCATTTTTCACTTAATAAAATTCAATACTCCCCAGAAATCTTTATTTCTCAGTTGTCTGTGCTTCATGGTAGTTCAGTTTCCCATAAATCTGTCCAACCATTCAATACATTATATTTCATTATCATCATGGTTGTTTACCTTCCCATGATATGTCGATTTGATTGGTAATAAAACATGTAATAAATATTTTGAGCCAATAGTACCTTTATGGGCCCAGGAACAGGGCTAGAAATCAAAACAAAGTCTTCTGTATTCCGAGATTCTGTCTTGTTATGACTATATCCCATGATTACAGCAGTTGTGCTATTGCACAGCCGTAATTCTACTATATGGGTTTCTGATGCAGAAAAATGGTGAATGTGATGCCCATCTGACTTATAGCCTGAGATCATACCTTAAAACAATATATCTCCCAAGATACCTCAAGTAATAAATATTGAGAACATTTTTATGAAAGTGTTGTAAAGCTATGCCATTCTCAGTTTCCCATAGGAGTCATTATTACATGGTGTAAACATTAACCTCTCTTAAATTCTTTGTGCACATTGCCATCAGTCCCACTCACCACTGTCTACAAATATTTTTATGAGTTGCTTTAAACATCTTAGGGCAGGTTGGGTATGGTGGTATGGTGGGGCACACCTTTAATGCCAGAACTTAGTAAAATCATGTAGGTTGATCTCTGACCTCTTTGAACTTGAGGTCAATCTAGTCTACATAGCAACTTTAATACACCCAGGAAGAGCTCTATACTGAGACCTTGTCTCAAGAAAAAGACATCCCAGTTCATTTAGTAGGCATGTTGGCACACCCATGTTAACACACAGAGATGGAAGCATGAGGATCAGATAGATGTTCAAGGTTTTCATCTACTACCAAGTAAGTTTGAGTACAGCCTTCATTATATGAGATCCTTTCTCTAATGCCCTCTCCTCTTTAAAAGATATTCTAACCTCTGTCTTTTAGGGCCAGAGATCAACAAATCCACTCAATATATAAATGCTGTGTGTAACTCCTGCCCTTTATACATGGCCTATTTCTTTCCTAAACTTTCAATGTTTTCTCATTCTTTCTTCATGTCCTTTTGTCCATCCTCCATCTAGAGTTCCCTTCTGTGTATCTATTCTATGAGTATTTTCTGTTTATTACCCTCATTTTGGTTTCCTCTTCTTTTAGGACACAAGGAAAACAATAGAGAAGATCTGCGACTTCCTAGGAAAGAATTTAGAGCCAGATGAACTGGATATGGTCCTCAAGTACAGCTCCTTCCAAGCAATGAAAGAAAATAAAATGTCCAACATTAGCCTCATCACAGAAGATGTGGTTACTAATGGATTGGTCCTCTTGAGAAAAGGTGAAGAAATTTTCTAGGTTCAAAACACATCAGAACAAGTAGAGGTCTTGTTGCTCTAATAAGTCTCTAAGAAATACTTGGGAACGTTTCAGAACTCATTGTTCATTACATCATAGTTCCTCATAGACCATACTGGAGAATAGTTTGGTGGTGATTATGTGGTCCTCGGGAACTCTGAAAGGAACTGATTTTTTTCTGGAAGTACATATTAGGATTGCAGATGGTTGTGTGCAATACCAATACCTTCGTTGTGAAACAAAAGGGTAGATACGTTGCAATGAGGCTTTGTAAGTTTCCATGTATTTTATACCTCAACTCTAAAGAAAATGTTTAATGTAGGGATTAAAGATATATCTAAGATGATGGCCATAGAAAACACTTCCATTAATAGCTGAAGAAGATGTTGAGCATGTCAAGATTGCTGAAACACTCCCGTCTACGAATAGATCTCATAAAGACTAAGCAAATTATTCACACAAGTGTTAGAATCTGAAGCAATTTGCCAATCTAAATTTGAATTGCTTCAGGCTTGGGAATACTCTGTTTATTCTAAATTGTCTCCCCTGGAATGGGAATAGCCTGCTTCTCTACATCTGGGCATCCTGTCTGTGTGGGGAAGATTGTGGATATGGTTTCATAGTTTTAAACTTGAGAAGTAACTTTGCCAGAGTGAATCACACCTGGAGTATCATCTACATTTAGTTAGCAGATAATAGGTGATATGAAACTCAGGTTTAAAGAAGAATGAGTCAGATGTCAGTTCTTTGGGGATGAGTGAAGAATTTGAGTATAATCTGGCAGTGGTGGTGCATGTCTTTAATCCCAGCACTTGGGAGGTAGATGCAAGTGAATCTCTAAGCTCGAACCCAGTCTGGTCTACAGAGTTATTTCCAGGACATCTAGGGCTGTTACACAGAGAAACCATGACTTGAAAAAGAAAAAGGAACTTGGGTATATATGTAGGAAGAGAAGAATAATGAATTGAATATTCTTCTCCCAGTAATTTACATGCTTCAGCCTTAACCTTCAGTTCTCCTCCACCACACAGTGTGAGGTTCAGATCCTATAACATAAGGACATCAGCATTGTATAGAGAGATAAGTAAGTTTAAGTGGTTAACAGGTTTCATTTAATCCATTACTCCTAATGTCCTCACAAGATAGAGTTTGGACTCAGTTTTGACCACAAAAACATGTCTCCTCAAGAATTTGATCATCCATACACTGAAGACTGAGGCCTCTGGTAGAATCCACTGCTGTTGAAAGATAATCTCACATACCTGTGCTCTGGACTCTGTGGAGACAGAGTTCTCTTAATGGGAAATGAAGGTCTCACATAAGAAGTCTCTCATTTCCTATATCAGATTGTTTCCCTTTTAATATTGAAATTATGAACAGATCAAATATTAGTTCTAAAATTAATTCATTACTTACCATTATGTACCTAATTCCCTAGATCATAATACATAAACAGCTGTGTTAAGTGTTATTCTGGCCTTAACCTGGAGGAATTCTATAGACCTGCTTTCCTCGTCCTTTAGTTGTCTTTCTCAGGACATATAAAATACCTTCTTTTTCCTCTGATGAGTTGCTCCTTACCTGGGTCAGACTAAACCATCTGACCAAGTGGGATTAATCTAGTTTTAAACATCAAGCAATAGTTTTCCATAGACAAAATTGTGTTGATTATGGTTCCATATTTAGATACTGCAGGAAATGAAGACCAGAGAAATTGCTATCCATGTTCACTGGTTAGTTGACAGAACTTTTATAAAGACATTGTCACAATCAAGATACGTGATAAAAAGTCTTCTGACAAACTTCAAAGATTTTAGATTTTTCCTAGACAGAGTTCTTGAGTCATTAATCATTTTTACTGAGGTCCCGAGAAGACATTAATCTGAGACACAGAGGGAAGAAGACGTAGGGAGAAGCCCACTATCTACAGAACAATAAGAACCAAGGGAAAGTATGGATGACAACCTTTTGTGATACCTGCAGTTTCCGGATCTATGAACAAACTCCTTTCCAACAAGAGTTAAGCCAGCACACATTAGAATTATCCTTTCCCCTAGCTAGCCAGAGATTGAGGAAATTTTTAGAAAGAATAAATAAAGAGAAATTATGCTTGTTAAGTGTGCAGGATACTGACAAAGTTGTACTCGGAACTTCATGTGGGCACCTGCAAAGACATGCTTCTCTCATCTGGATTGATACATTCTAGTGGGCACCATATTGAATTTTCTAAGATCCAGGTAGCTCAGCATCCAATCTGGCTTATCAGGCATCAGACATGCTGTGAGAAACAATAACAAAGTTTGCTCTAGTAATGACAATAATGATGAAGCTGAGAGTAGCAATGGATGCTGATAGATTCCAATTTTAACAGATTAGAATCTTATGGTCACATCAATTAATGGGATATTATTTGAATATGGTATACCAATAATTACCATTTAATTAAGAATATTTTATATTTTCTTTAATAAAACTACTGTAAATTAAAGTTACCTTGCATGATAAATAAGGAATGGAAGGTGATACGGTAAGGCATGACTTCTATTGTTAATCTTTCTGGCTTCAAATTCACATTCGTCATTATCATGCTGGGTAACATCTCAATGACTAATTTTTTTTTCTCATGAACAAAATGAGGACAAGACCAGTATCTTCCTCACTATTTCATGAATGCTTTTGTTAGTTCCATACTGAGTATATGGTATATAACTGGTATGATTTGATAAATGAAGCTTTTGGTGATATAAGAAAAAGTTCCATTTTCGAACATATTAGATACTTATTTCAGGCTTATCTTATTTCAGGGTTTATCTTCCTGTTGTTGTACGTGTGAATGACTGATGCAGTCATGTACAAAACGAAAATGTACCAAAGTATCACAGCTATGAAATAAAATAGAACAAGAATGAGGACTACAGAATTCTACTTGGAAGGAAGATAGGAAGAGGTGATCATAGTGACATAAATAAGGAAAAATGAACTAAAAGCAACTATATGGAACACATCCACACTCTAGGGTGAAGGAACACACAATACAATAAAATCTGAGCAGTTGAACAATATAGAATCTCTAATGTCAAAATTAAAGACATACTAGAATGGAATGATGAATCATATAAATATTCATGCATCATCAAACACCAAACTGACTGAAGACAATAATCTTGGAATGTTCATGGCTTACTGTAGCTGGATATCCTGCATCAGATGGAAGCATTAAGTAATTTGCATGTAGCTCCCAATAGTGTGTATCTCTAGTTCAAAGAGATCTGATGCCTAAAATTTCTGCAGGCACCTACATTCACATTTATGTGTGCCTACACACACATAAATTAAAATTAGTGTTAAAAGATGTTTTAAAGTTGATTGCATGCTTTGCAAAACTTTTACACTTAATACTAAAATTTAGAAAGAACAATTGAAGTCTTCTTCGAAAATTGAGATAAGAAACTCTTTTGGGTTTGATAGTGTGATGGAAACAGAGATAACTGGAAGTATTTCTGTTATCTTCTATGTCCAGTAACAATCTGGACATAGAAAAAAGCTATAGTTGATGTTGTTAAATTGTGTCATTTATAGGTTGGGATAAGAAAAAGTGAGACATTATTTCTGTAGAGGTAAAAGTCTGATGCACTTTATTTCAAGGGATAAGAAGTGTGCTCCACAGAGTTACTGGTGGTTCCACTTTATTAACTATGTGGTCTTTGTCAAGCAGATAGTAACAGCATGTGAAGGAGTGAGAATCATATTAAGAACATCATTAACTCATCTATGTGTTTGCTTCACATTTTACAGGCATGACTGGGAACTGGAAGAATCACGTCACAGTAGCCCAAGCTGAAGCCTTCAATAAGAAATTCCAAGCGAAAATGGCTGGTTTCCCTCCAGGGTTGTTCCCATGGGAATAAGTTCTTAAAACTTTTAAATAATGTATGGACAGTGGGGTTTATCTTCCTGTTGTTGTACATGTGAATGACTTAGTGTGGTCATATAATAAATACTGTTACTGAATTTGGAGTATTTTTTAATAATTGGTAGTTTCAGCAGTAGTAGTAATAATAATGGAGTAGTGGCAATTGTGTGTGTGTGTGTGTGTGTGTGTGTGTGAGTGTGTGTGTGTGTGTACAAATTTCTAGGTGTAGTGTCTTTAGAGGCCAGAATATTGTATTGGTTCTCATGAAGTTGCAGTTACACGATGTTGTAACTCACCTGCTTTGAGTACTAGGAACTGAGTTCAGGTACTATACAAGGAAAGTACAATGCTCTTGAACTCTGAGTCATCTCTCCAGCCCTAATCATGCTTGAGCCATCAAATATTTGGTTTGTTTTTATTATTAATGGTTTGTTATACTTTATCAGTTAACTCCAATTTTTTTTATGAAATTCTAGTTTTAAAACAATTCTTGTAGCCAAGCGGTGGTGGTGCATGCCTTTAATCTCAGCACTTGGGAGGCAGAGGCAGGCTGATCTCCATGAGTTTGAGGCCAGTCTGGTCTACAAGAGCTAGTTCCAGGACAAGCTCCAAAGCTACAGAGAAACCCTATCTTGGAAAAAACAAAAAAATAGATAGATAGATGGATGACAAAAAATCCTTATAATAGTATAAAAATTTTAAAAACGCTACAAGAAAAAATATAAGTGATACTTAACTTTGGGACATTTAGGTTAAATAAATAAATAAATTGTATTTATAGAGAATTTAGAACTTCATTCCTATAACCTATGATGTAAGAAATTTATAAAATTACATTTATGTTCAGTATTTTATACTTGTTTTATCACTTTTCCCCTTTTCAGTAATTTTTAGTGGGTGTGTAGATGTAGGCTGCTTGTTTGTTTCTCGCTGCCCAGAACTGAAATGATCACACAGAAACTATACAACACTGCTTGGCCTATTAGCTTATGCATATTTCTAGCTCATTCTTATCTCTTAAATTAACCCATTTCTATTATTTTATATTTTACCATGAGGCTCATAGCCTTCCTGGAAGTTTCCAGATGGGGGCTTGCATCTTTTTCTTCTGGCAACTCCATGGCTTCTCTCAACTCTGCCTTCTTTCTCCCAGCATTCAGTTTAGTATTCCCCACTATCTCTTCTCTGCCCTATCACAGATCAATGCATACTTTTTATTCATTAACCAATAAAAGCAATACATATACAGAAGGACTTCCTACATTATCTACCCTTTTATGTCTAAATAAGAAGGAAGGTTTTAAGTTTAACATAATAAAATTACATATTACAAACTGGTATCAAGCAAGAATTACAGTTACAATATTTATACCTACTTTATCTTTTATCATAACTAAGGAAAGTTATAATTATAACTATCTATTCTTCAACTTCATCAAAGACTCCAGAAGGATATAATATTACCTAAGAAAATAGGAAGTGCATTGTAAGCAAATTCCAAAACTCTAGAATTGACAGAAACATCTTGCTGCCTGGACAGTCACCCAGAGTTCTTTTGTAATATTGTGGCATTCATCTTCAGCCTACAGGCCCATATTATCTGACAGACTTTTCCATGAAGCAGGAAATCTCAAAGACAGTTCCAGCTACATTGGCAATTTGTCAATCACTTTCTATTGTGTCCTGCAGAACGTCTGGCAGACTCTTTTATGAAGCAGGAACCTCAAAGGACTGTCTCACCTTCTTTAGGCAACTTCAGTCATTTTTCTGTGGATCCTCCATGTCCAGTTCATATAGCATACCATCAAGCAGTACAGGCAAGAGCAGTATCTTGCCCAGATGGCTAGCAAACTCTTCACTGCTCATAATCATCTTGAAGTAACTGATGCTGCCAGTATGTCTCATTGTCATAAAAACTCTTAAGCTCTTAAATCATTTTAAATGTCATATTCTGAAGGTCTCCGAAAGATCTAAAGAATGCCTGAAGACTACCATCTGGAATACATCTTTGTACATCTAGAAAACCTAACTAATATGATTGCAAGGTTGACTATTTTAAATGAATCTCAATTAACCCATATGTTCCATTTTTAAATGAGATGCACAAACACAACACTTTAGTCAAGAGCTGAAATACACATATAACAAAAGTGACCTTAAATTTGTATCAATAGACCAAGATCCATACCAATGCAAATCTCTATAGCATTTATAAATAATATTTCAAAATTTGAGTCTAGTTCTCTTCAAACTGCCTTTTGCTTTTTGTTGGGCAAAGTAATTTTGGGGGTTGTTCACAGCAACTTTTTGGGGGGCTCTTGATGCATCAAACCACACTAGTCCAGGGGCTCTTGATCCATCAAGCCACCTTAGTCTAGAAGGATTCCACAGGTTCTCATCCTCTGTGGACACAAAAGAAGATCCTCTTTTACAAAGAAACATATCCTTAGACCCAAATTTTGAAATTAAGATACCTCTAATACATATACATTGATTTAGCATAGCAGTCAAGACATATAATAAAATGTCTCTCTGTACTTAGCTCCTTCACAGTTAAAAAATTTAAAGAAAACACAATAATATACATAATCCAAACTCACTGTGTATATTCCATCTTTATGTGCCTATTTTTCTTTCTTTATTACTTTTTCTACAAGTTCAATATTTATTTTATTATCGTTACTCTTTTAATCTATGACTCTCTGTTCTCTTTTATATTATATTTATTGTCTCTTTGCTCTTAATCTCTCCTGAGCTATGTACATGTTTTAAACACACTGTGTCTTATTTAGATGTCTTTTGTGTCTGAATTTGTCCTATTGTGTATTTGAAATCCTTTTCTATCCAGAAGAGATTCTTAAAATGCTAAGTGACATTACTCAGACTAAGGCTTTGGCTTTGGCTTTGCCCAATCCATCATGGCAGAGGCATGTTCACCACCTCTGCAAGCCTGTGAGCCATTCACACTGCCCCAGTTCCAGGTATGCAGTGGGTCTATGTTGAACAATTAAGCAATTTGTAACATGCTGCTCACAGACATCATTGAAATGCTTCATAGGTGGACCTCCGGAAAGAGTCAGAGCCATTTGTACTGACGAACCAGGAAACTGTTATTTTGAAACCACATGGGTTTTTTTGCTGTTGTTTTTGTTTTGTTTTGTTTGTTTCTTTGTTTGTTTGTTTGCTACCACTCAATCAGGAAGACCTCTCTTAAAGGAGCTGGAGCATATGGACAGTAAGCAGAGCCCATCAAAAAAAAATGAGGCTTAACTTCGTTTTTTTAGTGTCTAGAATTCCTTTTCAAGCACCCTCAGGTTTTATGTGGCTTTAGCTAGCATACATTGGAGCACCAACCTGTAGAGGGAGGCTGCTTATTTGTTTCCAGCTGCCAGAACTAAAATAATCACAGAGAAACTATTAATTACAACACTGCTTGGTCTGTTAGATTATGCATATTTCTAGCTCACTCTTATCTCTTAAATTAAGCCACTTCTTTTATTTTATATTTTACCACGAGGTTTGTGGCCTACTGGCAAGGTTACAGGTGGCTACTTGTGTCTTTCTACTCTGGTGGCTCCATGACACGTCTTGACTCCACTGTCTTTCTCCTAGCATTCAGTTTAGTTTTCCCCACATAGCTCTACTCTGCCCTATCACAGGCCAATGCAGATTTTTTATTCATTAATCAATTAAAGAAACACATATACAGAAGGACTTCCTACATCAGTGGGTGTATAGAATAATGGGTTTCATCATGAAACTTTGATATATACATGTATGTAGGCAGATACTGCTTGTTTGTTTCTGGTCACCTAGACCTGAAATAATCATACAGAAACTATATTAGTTAAAATACTTCTTGGTCTATTATCTCAAGATTCTTATTAGCTAACTCATATCTTAATATAACCCATTTCTATTATTTTATATTTTACCATGAGGCTTGTGCTTTACCACCAAGATTCCAGCAGGTGGGTGTCTTTCTCCTTTGGTGGCTATGTGGCCTGATTCCCCCTTTTTTCTCCTCTATCTCTGCTTGGAATTTCTTCCTTGGTCTATTCTGCCCTACTATAGGCCCAAGGAATTTTCTTTATTAACCAATGGTAACAAAACACATGCACTGCTTACAGAGAGAAATTCCATATCACCTTTCCTTTGCTGTCTAAATAAAAAAAAGGTTTTAACTTTAACATAGTAAAATTACATATAACAAGACAGTTATCAGGCAAGAATTACAGTTACAATATTTAGTCCATTTACATTTTTCAAATTAAGGAAAATACATTATCATCTATTTTATCTTTGTGAGCCTAAAGTTCAATATTAAATCTATCTTTTATAATTATAACTATCTTTCTTTAACTCCATCAAAGACTACAGAAAATATAAAATTACCTAAGTAAACAGGAAGTGCTTTGCAAGCAACTTCTGAAACTCTGGAATTGACAGAGACATCTTGCTGCCTGGATAATCACACAAAGTTCTTCTGTAGCATTGAAACATCCATCTTTAGCCTACAGGTCAATAATATCTGGCAGACTTTTCCATGAAGTAGAAAATTTCAAAGACAGCTCTACCTATATTGGCAGTTTGTCAGTCATTTTCTTCTGTGTTCTGTAGGATGTCTAGCAGACTCTTTCATGAAGCAGAAGCCTGAAGGACTGTCTCACCTTCTTTAGGCAACTTCATCTGTCATTTCTTTCTGGGAATCATGCATGTCCAGTTTATATAGCATACCATCAAGCAGTCCAGGCAAGAGCAGATTTTTGCCCAAATGTCTAGCAAACTCCATCAGTAGCTTCTTTGATGCCCATCATCCTCTTGAAGTACATTGGTGCTGTCAGGAGCAGACATGTGCCACTGTTGAGAAAAGTCTAAATTCTTAAAACATTTAAATGCTGCATTCTGTATATCTTCGAAAAATTTAAAGAACACCTATCCATTTGAAATATATCACAGTAATCTAGAAAACATGTCTAAAAGTTTGACTATTATAAATGACTATCTATTAATCTGTATTTTTAACTATACATTATGTTTTAGATGAGCTGCATAAATGCAATACCTTAAACAAGAGAAGAAATACATATAACAAAAT